CCCGTCCCCCCCTCCAGAGCCGAGCAAGACGATGGTGACGGAGCTGTGGCTGGCTGAGGACGAGTTCCAGTCGGTGGCCGTGGCCCCGGGCTCCCACATCACCTTCTGCCTCAAGGAATTCCGTGTGAGTCCCCAGCTGAGCCCCCCAGTCCCATGTCACCCCCTGGCCCCCCTCACCCTCCCCTTTGTCCCCAGGGCCTGCTGAGCTTTGCCGAGGCCTCCAACCTGCCCCTCACCATCCACTTTGACAAGCCCGGCAGGTAGGAGCGGCCACCACGTCCCCACCCTGTGCCAGCCCCATGCCTGGCACCCCCTGAGCCCCTCTGTGTCCCCAGGCCGGTGATCTTCACCCTGGATGACACTGTCCTGGAGGTTCACCTGGTGCTGGCCACCCTCTCTGACCTAGACAGCAGCTCCCAGTCCCCTTCCACCAACGGGTGAGTCCCAGATGAGCCCTCCAGTGGCCATGGGCAGGGAGCTGAGTGACCATTCCCAATCCTCTCTGTTCCCACCAGCGTGTCCCACCTGCCTGCCCCGCCAGACGACTTTGGTGACGACCTGGAGTCCTACATGGCAGCCATGGAAACCAGTGAGGGGTGCTCAGAGGGACCCCCCAGCCCCACCTTCCCCCTGCGCACCCCCCAGCCAGCCAAGAGCAAACCCCAGCAGCAGGAGGAGGAGGAGGAGGAGGAGGGAGCTGTGCCAGGGACCCCCCCGCACAAGAAGGTGAGGGATGGGTGTGCCTGGGGGCAGGGGGTGGGCAGAGCCTCCTCCTGACCCCCCGTTTCTCCCCACAGTTTCGCTCCCTGTTTTTTGGCTCGGTGATGACACCAGGAAGGCCTGGTCCGGCCACCACCCAGGAGGTGCTGGCGGAGGACAGCGATGGAGAAAGCTGAGCCCCCGAGTCACTGCCACCCCCAGCCTCCATCCAACCACCAGCACAGGCACCCCCCAGTGACCCATTACAAGTTTATTCCTCAAAAAATCCTCCTGCCCCCCCCTCCGCTGCCACCCCAGGGCTGGGCTCTGGGCTCCCCCCTCGCCCCAGCACTCCCTGCCCTGGGCCTGGATTTGCTTTGGTGGAGCGTGGCGGGGGGGGGGCAGGATCCTACAAATAAAAAAACGAGTCGAAAGAAAAGCGACCTGATGCTTGGGCGGGGGGCTGTGGGGCGTGGGCAGCACGGGGGCGGCTCCCAGCTCATTTCTTGGCTTTGGCAGAGTTTCGGGGAGGGGTGACGGGGCGCCCAGCAGGGTTCAGCCCGCTGAACTGCCCGTATTTGCCTTTGTTCTTGTCGGCCGGCTTCAAAATCTGTGGGCAAAGGGGGAGAGAAATCAGTGAGCTCCCGCCCCGGCTCTCCGCTCTGCGGGAGGGCAGAACTCCCTGCAGCCCTCCCTGCAGGAACCAGGGGTGTTTCCCCTCCTGGGCTCACCTGGAAGGAGCACATGAGGGTCTCATCCACGCTCATCATGGCGCCGGCGTTGTCGAACTCGCCACAGTAGTTGGGGGCCGAGAAGAGGGTGACGAGCTGGCGCTTGGCGAAGAACTCGTAGCCGTCCTCCACCACCTGGGGGGGACACGGGGTTGGCAAAAATCCACCTCCCGTGGCCGGTATCCACCTGCCCTGGCTAATTCCCAGTGCCCCAGGCTGAATCTCCAGCCCTCAGTACCAGGGTGAGCACTCCCTGCCCTGCAGCAAACAGCCACGGCTGGGACAAACACCCACTGCCCCAGGGCAGGTATCCATCATCCAGAGTGATTATCCAACCTCTGGGAGGAACAGCCACATCCAAGGGTGACTATTCATCCCTCCTGGGCAAAAACTTCAGAGCAAATACCCAAATGCTGAGGTTAATCCCAAATCCCAAGGCAAACACCCCCAGAGTTTCACCCCACACACTCCTGGGGTACACACTCTCCTTGAAGGGGCAATACCCGGGGTAGAACCACCTGGCACCCACTGGAGACCCAACCCCACGTGTGCCCAGTGTCTGGGGACTCACTGGTACCTGGTGTGCCCGGCAGATGAGGTCCAGGTCGTGCTTGTGCAGGAATTTGGCCACCACCTCGGCGCCGAAGGTGAAGGAGACCCCACGGTCGTTCTCCCCCCAGCCCTGCACATCCTTGTCGGGGTCGGACCAGAGCAGGTCACAGAGCAGCCCCTGATCCGGGACATCCGTGGGCCGCATGATCCGCCGGATCTGCTCCATCGACTGCAGGTCTGGGGACAGCCCTGCGGGAAAGGGACACCCCCAGAGCTCAGCAGGGACATCCCACCCCTCCTCCAGCCCACCCAGATCCCTGGGAAGGCCCATTCCCACCTCCATGGCAGCAGAAGATCTTCTCATCCACAATGGCGGCAATGGGCAAACAATTGAAGCAATCAGTGAAGGTCTTCCAGAGCTTGATGTTGTATCTTCTCTTGCCTGCGGGGAACAAAGGGGGCTTGGAGCTGACCCTGGGGACAGCAGGACATGGAAGGGCAGGAGGACACAGAGGAAGGGCAGGAAGGGGGAAGGAAGGAGCTCCCAGGTGGGGTCAGTGTGGGACAGCTCTGGGATAACAGCGGGAAAGGGGGAGCCCAGGGATGCCAGCGGGGTTTGGAGGGCACAGCCCGGGCACTCACACTCGTCATAGAAGCCATAGATGCGGTTGATGCTGGCACACTCGTGGTTGCCCCGCAGCAGGAAGAAGTTCTCGGGGTACTTGATCTTGTAGGCAAGCAGCAGGCAGATGGTCTCCAGAGACTGCTTGCCCCGGTCCACGTAGTCCCCCAAAAACAGGTAATTGCTCTCAGGGGGGAAGCCCCCGTACTCAAAGAGCCTCAGGAGGTCGTAGTACTGCCCGTGGATGTCACCTGGGGAGGGACACAGGCTGTCAGTGTCACCCTGCAGCCCCCCACGCCATCCCAGCGCTGCCCAGCAGCCACGCGGGCCTCACCGCAGATCTTGAGGGGTGCCTCCAGCTCCAGCAGGATGGGCTGGCTCAGGAAGATCTCCCGGGATTTGAGGCACAGCCCGCGGATCTCGTTCTCCGTCAGCTGCACGTTCTTCCCCGGCCGCGACCCTTGGACTGCTCCCAGCGCAGAGAACACGATCAGGGATCCCCAAGAGCTCGGGGACCCCCAGAGCACCCCAGGAACCCCTGCCCTGCCTGCTCCAGCCCTCCCTGCCCGTATCCTCCCCGCCCTCCAGGCCCAGCTGCGGCCCGCAGCCCCTTGGGGACAGCCCCGTCCCCTCCCGTTCCCCTCCGCGGTGCACACACCCCTTGGGGCCCCCATTTCCTGCAGCCCCGTCCCGCGGGGCACAGACCCATTGGGGATCCCCCCTCACATCCCCCACGCCCTCAGGACTCATCTCCAGCTCCGCAGACCCCACGGGAACCCCCCCAAAACCCTTCCCGGCCCTGACCCCCCCCAAACCACCGCGGCCTAACCCGCCCCCGCCAGGCCTAGGCCGGGGACCGCCCCGCGGCGCCGGGACACGGCCCGAGCCGGCCCCGGGAGGTTCCCCGAGCGGCGGGAGGGCGTCCCGGCGCTCGGGGGGCGGCGGGGGCCGCTCACCCTCCAGGAGGCGGCTGATGATGGAGTCGAGGTTGAGCTTCTCGGTGTCCGCCATGGCCGCCCGCGCGCCGCCCCGCCCCGCGCGCCCGCCCAGAGCGGCCCCGGTGCGCGTGGCGCCCCCTGCCGGCCGGGAGGACTCAGAGCAGCGCGGCTGGCCCCATGTCCCGCTGGCCCCCTGTCCCGTGTCCCGCTATCCCCCTGTCCCGTGTCCCGCTGTCCCTCTGTCCTCCTGTCCCGCTGTCCCGTTGTCCCTCGGCCACGGCGTCCCAGCCCCGGAGGGACAGCAGAGCCACGGCGGTGTCACACAAGCAGGGGGACAGCCATGGAGATGGGACACGCTCCTCAGAGGGACATTCCGGGCAGAGGAACGTCCCGGGAAAGGTGACACCCCGGGCAAAGGGACATCCCGGGCAGAGGGACATGCCTGGGAAGGGGAACGTCCCGGGAAAGGGGATACTGCGGGCAGGGAGCCTTCCCTGGAAAGGAGAACGTGCCAGGCAGAGGGACTTCCCTGGAACGGAGGACTTCCCGGGAAAGGGGACATCCCAGGAAAGGGGGACATCACGGGAAGGGGGACATCTGTGGGCAAGAGAACAACCCGGGCAGTGGACACGCCGGGCAAAGGGTAGAGCTCGGGCGAGGGGACACGGGGGACAGGGGGGACATGGACACGATGGGCCTGGGGACACAGAGCTGGAGAGGGAGGGGAGCAGCCTCGGCACAGACAACGGCTCCCGGGACTGCGAGGGGACAGGAGGGGACACAGAGACAACCGGGGATCCGCATCCCGGTCCTGGGAGCACAGGGACAGCCTGGGGACACGGGAGGACACGAGGGGACAGGATGCTTGGCAGAGCCCAGAGATGTCCCCACGCGGGGACTCCGGGGACACCGTGGGGAGCGGCACCGGCCGTTGCCGGGAGATTGTTGCCACCCCGAGATCCCTGGTCACACCCCGCAGGGCGGGCTCCCACTGGGGACACGGGGGAGGGTGACACATTTGTGCCACTGCTCGTGGAGGGTGGCAAGGCAGGGATGGTGTTATGGCTGTCCCCTGTCCCCACTGGCTGTGCCACGCCGTGCCATTCCCTGGGTGCCACGCCGTGCCACGCCATGCCATTCGCTGTGTCCCATTCCATGTCGTGCGGGGAGGTCGCGAATAGCTCCCGGGGCCTGCCCTGACATTTCTGCTCCGCGGTATCAGTTTTACTCCCGTCCTCGGCTGACCCCGGGCTGGCCCCGGCCCTGCCCCCGGTTACTTGTCCCCTGCCCCCG